ATTGGAAACTCTTTAGGAACATAGTTTATCTATATTTTCTATAGCCAGCTTTTAAGTAGTAGAATAGAGTGATTTGTCCCCCTTCCCCTCTTACACTTCTTTTCTCAAGGCTATATAAACCCAGCTTTCCACATCTTTCCTTGATTATCATGTTTGCTAGACCCTCTAACCATCTTAGTGTCCCTGTGCTGCACTATCTCCAGCTTATCAGTATTTGTCTTGAACTAGGGGGGTTAAAAATTGGACACAGTGCTCTAGATGCAGCTTTTAAGTACAGGCACTTAAAAGTCACTTCCCTTGGTCTGCTCTTGCTGGTGCAACCCACTAGCATTTGCAGTTGCCAGAACCCATTGCTGACTTATGTTCAACTTGCTGTTGTCCTTCCATCAGGGCCTCAGGTCTTGTTTGGAGAGCTGATATCTAGCCATTTAGATGTTGGCCAGCAGTACTGCATGACATTATTCTGTCCCAGGTGTGGAATTTTATGTTTGACTTTGTTGAGCTTGATGAGGTTTGTCAGACCATTCTTACAGCTTGTTAAGGTGCCTCTGAATGGCAGTCCTCCCCTCCCACCTAGCAACTGCTCCTTTGAACTTGATATTAACTGAAAATTTGCTGAAAATCTGTGTTTTATCCCATCATCTGAGTCATTAATGAAGATATTAAAAGATATTGATGATGGACAGATACCACTTATAACTGGCCACCAGTTAGACTTTGAATGGTTGGTTGCTATTTTTTGGGCCTGATGATCCAGCCTTTTTTTTACTTGCACTGTGATCAATTCATCTAGACTCCTCCTATTTCCCCAGTATAGCTTCAAGGATGCTATGGAAGACAACATAGAAAACTGCATAGTCAAGATAAACAGCATCCACTGCTCTCCCCTTGTCCACAGAGCCAGTTAACTCATCATAAAAAGTCATTAAGTTGGTCAGGCAGTCTGTGCCCATGCTGAATCTATGCTGGTTTTTCCCTGTGCTTGTCTTTCATGTACTTAGGAATAGCTTTCAGGAGGAATTGCCACGTAATTTCCCCCAGGACTGAGGTTAGGCTGTGTGACATTTGTGTTTTTCCACTCACTGGGGAGCTACTCCACTTACCAAGTACCGTCCAAAGATGAGTGACATCGGTCAGCTCTTGTAAATCTTGGATGTATATATCACCCTGCTTCTATGTGCAGCTTATCCTTAACTTGTTCTTCCTCTGACGTTGGCAGTATTTCTTTCCCTCAGAGTCTAGCCTCAGGAGTGTGGGAAGCCTGAGAGGAGATCTTACCAGTGAAGACTAAGGCAAAAAAGGCAATGAGTACCTTATGTTTTTCTGTGCCCTTCATCACTTCATCACCATCCCCATTCAGAAGTGAGCTCCCTCTGTCTTTGGTCTTCCTTCTGTCGGTGCTGTACCTATGAAGCCCTTGTTGCCTTTCACATTCCTCGCCATTTTCAGCTCCATCTGAGTGTTGATCTTCCTGATTCCATTCCTGCATGCTTGGTCAGTGGGTCCACGTGCTTCCTGGGTGGCTTGCTCTCTTTTTCCACATGCATGTTTTCTTTTTGCAATAGAGTTCGAGAGTGTTCTTCAAGTTTTGAGTGGGGTGGGATGGCTTAAGATTGAGCTGCAGCGTGTGAAATCAACTTGACTTTGGCTGAATTACATGGAGTAATTGGAGCTAATAGGCTTTAATATGCCAGCTGTAGATGCTATACACAGCAGCTACTTAAGTAGATAGTTTTTGTACTGATGTCAGAAGCAAGCACATTTATCTTGTTCAAAATTCAGAGACACCACCCTATGATACATGTTTATGCATTCTACACTGCTTAAAAGCTCAAGGAGAAAGGAGGAAGGTACCATAAAAGCTCTGGTAATACCTGCTGAGTCCTGCATATGCCAACTCAACGCTTCTCTGCAGGAGAGAGACAGAAAACAACTCGTATAACTTCCCTGGTTCCTGCAGGTGGGTTCTGTATTTCCCCCAACCACTCTCTGCAACATGAGTTGGACTTCACCAGTAATTTTGGAGGCAGTTTTCTCTCAAAAGCCCTAAAAAGAAAAAAACAAGAGTAGATGACAAGTGTGTTTCTTGATTGGACAAAGCTCAAATATGATTTAAATACAGATAGGCCAAATGAGTGACAGGCAATCTATAAATTATAGAATTGTACAGTAATTGAGGTTGGAATGGAACTCTGGAGGTCGTGTTCAGCCTCTGCTGACAGCTCATGTTCTCTTAAAGGGCATTATACAAGAGAGACGTAAAAAGTAGAAGAGGAAATGCTGAAGAGCTGGGAAATGAAGGGTCTATGCCGAGTAATAGTGTTTGTTGTGTTATGAGAAACTCCTTGGGTTAATTATTAATTATTATTAATATTAACTTGGGTTAATATGTGTTGTAAAGAGCTGTTGATCTGAAATCCCGTGGGGTATCCTAGGGGAAGGAGATGTACACTTGATGCCATAACAAAATAGCATTATAAGTCAGTATTACTTATGCAGCTGTCTTTCCAAACATAAAATGGCTTTGGGTGATTGTAACCATGTTTTAGTTAAAAAGTAACTAGAACTTAATAAACTAGAACTAGAAAAAAGGCAGCCCCTGGTGGCTTGATAGGAGGACAATGTCAGTCAGAAGATCTGCTGCTTGGTGGTGGTGCAGTTTGATCCTGACAAGAAGCCATGTAGTTTGAAGCTGCTATGTAAGGAGACTTTAAAAGACTCCAGAATATACACAGAGCTGTGTGAAAGTGGCCCTTGTTTTGGGTAGACTGAGCCTTGAGCCCTCAGTTTCAGATCTGTTGCATCCAAATGCTGGTGGCCATCTGCAGTTCACTTTGCAGCTGGAGACGTTCCACTAAAGGATGTTAACTAATGTATGTTAGCAGTTGTGTAAAATGATGAACTCTAAACTAAGGTCTCCCTAGATGATCTTTAGAGGTCCCTTCCAATCCCTGACATTCTGTGATTCTGTGTGAGAGCAAGTGTTTTTCTGGGTTATCATAATTGTTCCCTTAAAAACATCAGTTTGGTAGCAGGCAAAAAAGGAGTGGAATATTCGGGGTTATTAGTAAAAGGAATGGAGAACATCATTCTGACAATGTATGAATTGGGACATGTACATGTCTTCAACGTTGTGCACAGTTCTAGTCATCTGCCAGAAGAACAAAGGGCTGGGTGGATGGTAGAAGTTTCAAAAAAGGGCGACAAGAACGTTTGAAGTTTTGTAAAAGCTGTCTGAGGAGTGACTAGACAAGGATTCCTCACCCTGGAAAAGAAGATGGAGCTGTAGGGTCTGAGTGCTTTGGGGGGTGGAAATCAGACTGGACTACTGATTGCACCAAAGCAAGAACTAGGCCTCCAGTTTGATATTTCATGAAGTCAAAAGTTTCCTTCATCATGTAAAAGAGCACTTTCTTCCTTATCAGCAGTCTGTGTCTCCTCCTCTGTTTTTTTCTTTTCCCTCATGTAGCTTTCTTGGCTGGGTTGACCGTGTGATGGTCTTCTTGGTCCACAGCAGAAACACTCCACATTCCAGTAGGCTTCAGCTGTGTAAAGCTGCTTGAGGGACCATGAGGTAGAGTGTATCTCTGAGAGGGTAGTTTAAACTACATGGATTTTACTGCTGTCTTTGTGGAAGAAAAGGAGTGGAAAATGCACATGGAGAGGTTGGAGGGAGCGATAAATGGAAATACTGGTAGCTTTAAACCAGGCAGATGGGTTTATTATAACCAGTAGCCTAAATACTAGTGACCTTTGAACAGGGGCAACTTACAGATTTAAGTGACCTCCTTATTTGTACATCACTGTAAAGACAAAGTTCAACCTTACCTGTAGTAATGAAAAAATCAGAGCCTTAGGCTCTCTAAAGAGGGCAGCTGCTTAAAGGGGAGCAGGTACACTTAGTGGTGGCTAGGAATCAGTTTAGAAACAAAAATAGCACTATCAAACTAATATATAAATAAGGTTAAAAATAAGGTTGTATGTGGTTAAAAAAAAAAAGAAAAGATTAACACTGAAGATTTTATTTTTGTGAGTCATCTGCCCCAAAACCCCAGGGTAGCAAATCACTGCTCAAGAAACACTTTCTCTGGAAAAGGTCAGTTGTTCCGAAGAGACAGTGGTAGAAACACTCAACATGAAGACTTGAACTTAGTGACAGGTGACTTTTATTTCAGGAGATGGATATGTTAAAAGCTGTCAGTTAAACAAAAACCTTCTCCTTCTACCTCCTCCAATAATCTAGCTTCTCTAGACTTTGCTTGGAAATGGGTTTAAGCTGAAAGAGGGGAGGTTTAGATTAGATATTAGGAAGAAATTCTTCACTGTGAGGGTGGTCAGACACTGGAACAGGTTGCCCAAGGAAGTTGTGGCTGCTCCTCCCTGGAAGTGTTCAAGGCCAGGCTGGATGAGGCTTTGAGCAACCTGGTCTAGTGGAAGGTGTCCCTGCTGATGGCAGGAGGGTTGGAACTGGATGAGCTTTAAGGTCCCTTCCAACCCAAACCGTTCTGTGATTCTATGATTCTCTAACTACTCATGTGTTTTGGGTCTAAATTGTACTAGTCCTATTGTCAGGAATAAACATGCTTGACCAGTTAACCTACAAGCAGAGTGTGAAGGCTGCCTGTACATGGTGCTTCTGAATGGCTCAGTGAAAAATTTTGGTGTCAAGTAATCCTGTCTCATGTTACTGCCAACTGTTGCCATTTATTTGGAGAATGGAATTGTCTGTATTGTGCTACACAAGCCTATTTAATAAAGTCAAGCTTTTCACAAGCAGAACTATAACGATGAGGAAAGAAACACTTGGTAGAAACAGATTAAAAATGGGTTCTGTGTGGAGATTAAAATGAAAACAAAGCAAGCATTTCATTTCCAACTTAATGTTATGGTTTCTTGGTGTCTTTTTAGTGAAAATGTGGTGTTTAAAAGCACATTCCACTTCCCACAATTGTTGTGTCAGCAGTCTTACTGGTTCTCATTCACTTTATGGTTGCTTTTAGAGATCAGCAACTTGAGTGAAAAAGATATCCTTGTTCTGCGTCTTGACTTGACTGACAGAAGCTCTCATGAAGCTGCAACCAACAGTGTTCTTAAGCATTTTGGCAAGGTAAGTAAGGTGTGCTTCTGGGGTTAAACTTGTTTTTCTTCTCTATCTCCTATAACTGCATTTATGTTTGTATTTCACTTTTATTCTGTTGTATGGTGAATTCATCAGTGTCTACATCTTTCTGAAGTTTCACTATTAAACTTGCCAAAAAGTACCTGAATTTTCATCCCTTCTGTTGGATGCTTCTGGGTTTCAGCAGGCTTTGTGGAGATGCAGCAATGAACAAATAATCACTGGTCATTACCAAGAACTAAAAACTCCCTTTCTTGATCTCACTGAATTTCTGGACCAACTAGAACAATCCTCAGCTGTATATTTAAAGCTTAAAATTGTGTGTGAAAGTCAGAACATTTATTTTGTAGTTTCCATAATGAATGTAATTCAGAGCTATATGGGACAAAACTGGATACCAGGCACAATTGTTCTCCTTGTTTGGTGCGTAGTTTTCTTGATTGCTAGTCCAGAGTACGGAGTTAAGACAATAGCAGTCAGATCTAACCAGTGTTAAGTGCAAAACTTCAAACTAGGCCAGAATATCCACTGATATTTTGATTTCGCAGTGAAATTTTTGGTACCAAATTTGTTTCTCCTGTTCTTTACTTTAGTTAGTTTCTGGTTTTGCATAAAATGTCTTTTCAGAGGTCACCTTGCAGGACCTAAGAGTTAAGTAGTATTTACTGCAGTGCAGTAGGGTTAAAAAATGTTGTGTGGAAAACAACTTCCCAGCTGCCAATGTTCCTGCACTAGGAGTTAAACCGTGTTTGGCATCAAACACTGTATTCCTGTTTTGTTGACTCAGCTCAAAATTAGCCAGCCTTCAATTCCCAGGGGAAGTCTAGTCAAGGAGGGCAACTGCTGACACTTCTTCAGCAGCTGGTAGATCTTATTGGTGCATGGCAGAGCCAGCACTGAAGAGAATAGTTAGTTAACAATTGCCTGAGGAAGCAAAAGTAGTGAAGGAAATGTGTTATATTAATATATCATTGTATCTTTCCTGAGATTGATGTTTTGGTCAACAACGGTGGACGTTCCCAGCGCTCTCTGTTTGTGGATACAAACCTGGATGTCTACACTGCCATAATAGAACTCAACTACCTAGGTACCATCTCTTTAACAAAACATGTCCTGAATCACATGATCCAAAGGAAAAAAGGAAAGATTGTTACTGTGAGCAGTGTGATGGGTATCATGGGAGCTCCTCTTGCCTCTGGGTACTGTGCCAGCAAGCACGCTCTGCAGGTAAGTTACATTTCCAAGGTGCATTAAGTCTTGCTGTGTAATAGACCAGCATCAGTTAGTGCTGTAGCAGAGGACTTTATTCTGTGCAGAAAACACAAGTTTTCCCTGAGGTTCCATACAGCATGTATAACTTCCTCAGGTTTTGAAAGTCTTTTAAAATTAATTTGCTCTGAAATGCAAAATATCTCAGGTCCCAGTGTAGATTTATTTTCCTGACTAAAATTCAAATACCATCTTAGTTGGGCCCAACCACTACCTAGTTAAATACCAATATAAAACACAAGCCCTTAGCCTCTGGCCTTCAGATGAAGGAATACCTAAAACCAGAGGGTTATTCTGTTGCATGTAGAAGCCCTAATGTTCTCATCTTAATTCAGTTAGGGAGGAAAAGTCACTGGTGAGAGTTTCAAGACTACAGGAAATGTTAAGGATAGTAAAGTGAGAACAGTGAGCAGTAAAGCAGACTCAGAGGAATAAGAATTCCTGATCTAGCTGGGAACATCTGAATGAATCTTTCCAGCAGTTCTGAATCTTGCTGTGGTGTGAAGAACTGGTGGCTCATAGCGTCTTAGCAAGTACCTTCTGCATAACACTTAACTTCCAATATTGCTTGGAAGGAGTTTTTGAAAGTGGTCTCACTTGTGTAGAAAAACATAAAAGAAGAGCTCAGAAAAGGATCTGGGGGGAAAAAGTCTGCCTGTATCATTGAGGAATCATTTGTTTAACTGGTAAAATTGTTTAGACACATTTGTCTTTCACTGCTCTTTGACTTCCTGCTAATGCACATTTTGATCCTGGTAAAATAAACTTCAGCTGTGCTCAGTGATGATTTAAAAACTGGCACCTTCTTACTCACTGCTGGATTCAAGTACATAAGCAGAGTAAGTAACTTTCCTTAAGCTGTGGGATCAATATATTTTTGACAATTTGACTAACAACAACAAAAATGTAACAAGTAGCTGACACTGCAAAGCCAGTGGGCACTTGAAAGAATGAAAATGTAGAAGACAGTGACAGGTCTCTGCTAATAAAAAGTTTTCATTTAGTGACAGGGAGAGATCTGCTGCTCTTCGTTTGAGTGGCAGCAATGAAATTGCCCTTTGGAGGCCAGCTTTTGGGTTAAGTCCAGTGGATTTAAGTTAGAAGAATGCAGTGAGTAGAAGCATGAATCCCCTTTTATGCTCCTCTGTTTATTAAATGTCTTTCAGTTGACTTATCTTTTGGGTGTGGTGTAGTTACTCTGAGCATGGCTAATTAGTTGCAGAGCACAAGGAATTCATGTGTTGCTTTAAAAATTCTCAGAACTCTGAATCTCATGTTAAGATCTAGAACATGGACGAAGCTTTAAAGAGATAGTTTACTAAAATTTCTGGATTAATCAAAATAAGCTAAATGAACTGCTTATATCTTTGTTAGCTCTGCTCAATAACCAGGCCAGACTCCAAACCTCCTTTCTTGGGTTTTTTTTTTTTACAGTAAGTTTGCAAACACTAATTGCAGGAGTTAAAATGTGTTATTTACAATAAAGATTTTGAAAAGATGCTGTTGGAGAGTATCAGTCTAGAGTTATGGCTAGATGTGGGCATCAAACTCCCAAAAACTAGAAAAGCTTTTTCAAACTATCAAAACTTCACCAGGAGAGTTCAGGCAAAGGAAGTCTGTAGGAATGGCAATCCTTTTCAGATAGCCCAGTAGCCCGTCTGTGACAATGACCAAGAGGAAATGGCTAGAGAGAGGGTAGGGGAAAAATAAGACAAAGCATAAAGTGATGCTTTTCCTGTTGTGTATTTCCAACATGTATCAACCTGTGTTCTAAGATCTTCTTGAAATGAAGATTGCATTTTGGCTGCCAGTTATTAAATATGTGACTCTATCTGACATGAATTGATTTTATTTATTTTTTTATTTATTTTTAATTCATGCCTTGGAGTCTGCCACAGCTGACATAGTTAATGCTGCAATCTTCATGATGCCTTTTTGGAAAAAGTCCCACCTTACTTTTTTTTTGGGTGTGTGTTTTTGTTTTGTTTTGGTTTTAATTTCTTCTAAATGGCAGTTGGAGGAAGGAAGGAAGGAATTCTATTAAGAATTAAAATTTGTTCTTGAAACAATTGTGCTTTGATTCACGCCAACTGGAATTCTTCATAACAACGTTCTACTGATGAAATTACCCTTCATTTCAGTTCTGGGAGTGCTGTAAGACCATGAGTCAAGTCCACAGGAGTCTGCATCTGGCTGATGCAGTTTCTGTCCTACTGTGCTGATGCTCATGGAGATCACGTGCCATTCATCTCCTTGTAATTTATATAATTGGCAGCATGTGGAGTCAATAGGAAATGGTGGCCTTCAAAATGTTCCTTAATCAGGAACTTGTCTAATTAACACATGGACTGCAGTGAGCAGCAACTGCTACTCTCTTTGTTCAGTCTCTGGTCATTAGGGGAACTTCTCAATGTTTCTGTCATAGCAGAAGTCAGTTCAGCCTTGCCTTCTTCAGCATCTTCTAGGATTTGCTCACTAAGCTGGAAGGGCCCAGAGATGCCTTAAAGCAGTTCCTGTTCCACAGACCCTGTGTCTGCGTGTCAGAGCTGGCTTCAGTCTGGGCTTGAGGGGAACGCTCAGATTCTTTCCCTGGCACTTGAGTTCCTTTCCTGCTCCCAAATCTGGGTCTGCCCTGCCTTAATTTAAAGAAGAGAGCATTTTCTTTTCTTACTTAGGAATGTTAAGCTTCTCTTCTGGGAGGAAGTGGAGGAATTTCCTACCACTTACCTTTAGATATCTAAGTGCTGAAATTGGAGAACCTGTACATACTGTAGATAGAGCCTCCAGAGTGTGTGAGATTCTGGTCTTCAGGTTGCTCTGTTTAGTGCCTATCAGCCAGGATTTCAGCTGAGCAGATGTCCTGGCTATCCTGTGTTCCCGGTGAAGACTACACCTCTTCCATGGTGTAAAAACTTGGAATTGAAGCGGAGGGGGATGGAGCTCAGGTTATGTTGGCCTCTGGGCTGTGGGTGCACATTGCCGGCTCATGTTGAGCTTCTTGTCCACCAGCGCCCCCAAGTCCTTCTCCTCAGGGCTGCTCTCCATCCATGCTCTGTATTTGTGCTTGTGGTTGCCCTGACCCAGGTGTGAGACCTTGCACAAGGTAACATAAGCTCACTGGAGCGATGCTCAGCTTTTGGTATCTCGCAGCTTGCTCTGGTCAGCAAGGCTCTCTGCAGTCCTTGGAGAGAAGCAGCAGTTTGAGTGTTCTGAGCCAGAGCCACTGCCCTCCATGTCTGATGTTGCCTACAGAGCTGGCCACTGCTCTGTGCCTTTGTGTGCCTGCTCAGGACTGTGGCAAGTGCCTGTTTTTAGGTAGAACTCGTATCCCAGAAGCCTCCTAGCATTTGAGCAGGTGTAGCTGCTTTGTCACAAGTGACCAAGCGGCGTTTCTGGCTTCCTTTGTATCACAGCATTCCCAGACACACACCCTTCCAACTCCCCGACTCCTGGAAGTACATCTTGAGTTTGTCTCCTTCAGGCAAAATGGGAGTCAGTTCTGTTCCTCACCATCCCATCACAAGAGAGACATGGAGCAGTTAGAACGAGTCCAGAGGAGGCCACCAGGATGATCCGAGGGCTGGAGCACCTCTCCTATGGGGACAGACTGAGAGAGTTGGGGCTGTTCAGCCTGGAGAAGAGAAGGCTCTGGGGAGATCTTATAGCGGCCTCCCAGTACCTGTAGGGGCTCCCGGCAGGGATTTTTCATAAGGGCAGGGAGTGACAGAACAAGGGGAAATGGGTTTAAGCTGAAAGAGGGGAGGTTTAGATTAGATATTAGGAAGAAGCTCTTCACTGTGAGGGTGGTCAGACACTGGCCCAGGTTGCCCAAGGAAGCTGTGGCTGCTCCTCCCTGGAAGTGTTCAAAGCCAGGCTGGATGAGGCTTTGAGCAACCTGGTCTAGTGGAAGGTGTCCCTGCTGATGGCAGGGGGGTTGGAACTGGATGATCTTTAAGGTCCCTTCCAACCCAAACCATTCTGTGATTCTGTGATCCCAAATTGACAGGGGTTGATCAGGGAGTGTGGGCAGGGAGAGCTCTCGCTTAGTCCTGCTCGTGCAGTTCGGTGTTGATGGAATAACTCACGACTGCCCAGAGGAGAGAAGATGGCTGCTGTTGAGGCTGTGTTTCTAGGAGAGCCTGGGCTTCGTGTCATTGCTGTGGTGAAAAGGATACAGAGCACTGGTGTACACTGAGCAGTACCACGTCTTCCCCTCACCCAGGTGGCCACGCTCATGACACGCTGCCTCCTCCCCTTTGGGATCTGGTGTCTTTTTATTTGTTACTTTTTCCTCAGCTGGACTGATGGCACAAGTTTTGTGACAGGACTGCACAACTTGGGGGTTAAGGGGCTTCTGTGAGTTCAGTAAGTGGGCTGAGGACCCCTCAGGGAAAGAAAGGGATGTAGAGAGTGCAGGTTGGGGCTGTAGCACTATCCTAGAGCGGTGGATACAGCAGAGCTGCTTTGGTGCCACCTCAGAAGGTGCGTACCGGGGCGGAGGAGGCTCCTCTCGGGGCAGGAGGTAATCGGGGGGAGGGCCGGGGTTTTTTATCCTGAACAACCGCATGGTTGTCAGATCCAAGTTGCTTCCAGACGTGTCCAGAAGCAGACTTCTGGGTGTAAAGTGTCTTTAATGTTAAAACTTAGTCCTCTAGAAGTTACACATCTCCGGGCTTTGATAATGTGCCATGAAGATCTGATGGTAGATACGGGGCCTGCAGGTACTTAGAACTTTAAATACATGGTCAGGTTTTTACAGAACCTCGCTGCAAAGCCTGTGTGCAATCTCTAAGGTGGAATTAGTCACCAGCAGTTGGGAAATGAGAGCCCATGTTCTTGGTCGTAGGTGTGCACTGGTGTGCACCTCGTTGCTTAGCTGTGGTGGATTGTCCTCCTGTGTCATCACAGGAGCCTATCGGACTGATTTGAGCTCTGTGTTGCAATTCAGTGAAGAGCTCTGGGTCAGCCAACCCTCTTCCCAAGCTGGATGGGAGTGCAAATTACACATTTTTACTGTAGTGGGAGAAGTTTATCAGCCTGTGCTCACTCTCTGTCTCTGTTGTGACACAAAATTATGTGTCAGAATAAATACAGGGATCTCTTGTTAACCAGGTCAGAGATAAGACACGACGTGGTGTTTGCTGAATCTGAGCTCTGCAGTGCTTGACCAGCAGCTTTGGTAGGAAGCACCTTCCTGAATCGGTCATGTTCCCCATAACAGTTGCTGTCTAAATGTGAATTGCTAGAGAGATTAAGAAAACTTGTGTCCTCTTAGCTTAAAGAAAAGAAGTACTTGCAGCTTTTGTAACTACAGTTTAACTTGGATACCCTGGTAGCATATTCCTGAGCTGAAATGAGATTTACATCTATGTGGATGCAAATTTTAAACTCTGCAGTGATTTCAGCGGTGCAGAATGACTCCCTAAAGTATCAGGGTGCACCTTTAACTTGATAGGCTGAAAAATTTTCCTCCCTCTCATATAGAACCAGTGCCACTTACTCAATACAAACAATCAAAAATCTTTCATCTCACCACAAAGGGCAACTCACCTGCAAAAGGTGATTTCCACAATAGCGGTTCTTGCCATTGGTGGCACTTCTGCTACCAAAACAGTGAGGCTTGTCCTCGGTGCAGGGACAGCAGAATCTGGCTGTAGTTTGGAGAAATGATTGTGCATTTGAGAAGTGAAGGATAGATTCCTCAGTGATTTATATATCTGTGTCTATAATTGCCAATGAAAATTTAAATTAGCTCTTGAATGTGAAAAGCCAAAGCAAGCAGTAGGAATTGCTTTTAGTGGAATACCGTTATCTTCACAGCGTGGAATTGGTATGAAAATACATAGTCATTTATCAAAATAAACCTTGCTACAGGTGGAAACATGGCAGAGGATGATGGCATTATAATTTTTTATTCTAGGGTTTTTTTAATTCTCTTCGGACCGAGCTGACTGACTACCCTGAGATAAGTATTATCAACATATGCCCAGGGCCTGTACAGTCGAAGATTATACAAAATGTCTTCACAGAGAATCTTGCCAAGGTAAGGACTCAGTTCTGTTGTGATAAATCCGACTTCTGCTGCAGGCTTTAGTGATCCTTTTGTGGTTGTCTTTGCTTTTTCTCCTCTTAGCAAACACTAACCTCATCTTCTTACCAAGAAATGCTTCGATTGCTGCAGAACTCTGTGCAATTCTTTGTGGTATCAAGTCTATATCAAATGAAAATCAAGTTTGTTCCAACACATACAATCCAAATCTAGTAAAATTTACCGTACAGCCACCCTGCTGCAGTTTTGGGGAAAAGGCCAGGATTTTCTGGACACAATTCTGCATGCAGAATACTGTCCTTTCTGCACAGGTAGCTCTTTGTTTGCCCTAGTCACGATGTCCCCCGGTCAGTTGACGCTGTTGTTGGCAAAGCCACTGGAGTCAGCTGACGTGAGGCACGCATTCTTTTGCTGTTAGCGATTGATTGTTCAAGGAGAAAAAGCAAAACCTTCCAACTGCACAATTGCTTTCAATAAAGGCTGGCTAATAAAGAACTGGGAAAAATTGCTACTGTGATACAGCAAAATGTAATCTGTCCTAAATTCGATCAGTTTAAAGCTCAGGATAACCCACCGGGGTTGGGAGGGGGTGGGTGTGGAAGGAATCTCCCATTGGTGAATCGAGTTCCAAAAGGATTTTTGGCTTGCAAAACTTCATAGTTCTTTTCTTCAAAGAAAATATGGACTTTTGGAGCAATCTGGAAAGCCTGCAAAACAAACTCCTCACATTTCAGCATGGCAAAAGACCTAGGAGGAGGACCAAATCTAGACCAGGACTGCTTTTGCTCTGGGAAACAGAAGAGATCGATAGAGCAGTCTTATTTCTGGAGCAAAATGTATATAAACTCCCAGGGCTGTGGATTGCCTTCGCTAAGTGATATCTGTGGACAAGATTAAGACACCCCTGCCACTGAGGAAACCTGTTGCTTTTCTCCTGCCCACAGAGGTGGCTGCCCACAGAGCAGAGCCAGCAGCAATACTTCAGTTAATGGGGAATGTGGCCTCACCTACTAACTCGGTTACTGAGTAACTTGGAGCGTATAATGGGGTAGGCAGCTGGGAACAGGAAAGTTCCTGTTTCTCGCAGCCCTGGGTTGCAGAGAGGGTGGCCTGTGCTGACAGATCTGTTTTGTGATAGAGCAGAAGCCATGCTGAAGCAGGACAGAGTTTGGAGATCCACTTTTTTAACCTTTGACCCATCAATCAAGGCATTAATAAAAAGGGTGGTTATTTAAGCACCTGTGCTAAAGGAGGGTGGTAACTGTTCCCACACTGAAAACTAGAGGACAGTGAGGGATGGGTTCCCCAGCCCCAGTCTTCACTGGGCACAGTGGAGAGAGACACTGGAAGGAGGGTGCCTGTTGCACAGAGCCTCGAGCCCAGTTCTAATGCCTCCTTGCTCGCTTTCCCCCCCAGTCCCTAGAGAACAGTGGTGACCAGTCCCACAAGATGCCAACTGACCGCTGTGTCCGGCTCACCCTGGTGAGCACAGCCAACGACCTGAAGGAGGCTTGGATCAGCGACCACCCCTACCTGGCCGTTTGCTACCTCTGGCAGTACGCACCCACCTGGGCTTGGTGGCTGATGAACAGGATGGGCAAGAGGAGGATACAGAACTTCAAGAGCGGAGTGGTGAGTTTATTCCTCTCTCCTCTGCTCATTTGCTTTTTTTTTTACTCTGCTGACAGACTCTTTAGCCACAGGAACGTTAGGATTGCATTTTGGATCTGTTTCCTTCTTCCCTCCTCGTTTCCCTCGCAGCTGATACCAGGCCAGACTCCATAGCTGCTCGCCTGGCAGTCTAGAATTACTGCAGCGTGGCCGCAGCGCAGCAAAGTCAGTGCATCGTGTAGTGCCAAGGGGCTTGCTCTGATCTTCATCACACGTGCTGCCAGTTCAGGTGTCACCATTAATGCAGAGCTGAGCTAGAGGTCACCAGCATAAGTAATTTAACGCAATTTGGAATTGACTGTTACAAATCTCTCCCTTTGTGGTCAGCTTTTACATCAGGCTCATGCTCTGAGCACCTCCCAGAAGCGCATGAAGCGATACGACCATCGGTCAGGGCTCCTCACTCACATGCGCGCCCCTGAAGCCAGGTGTGCAGGGCAGGGTTCTGTTCTGTGGTCCTGCTTGGTGGATGGTGTTTTTCTTACTGTGTTTTTGTTGAACTTGGTACAAAACCCCCCTATGTCAAAGTACTTCAAAAGCAGGAAATGCAAAAATAAGGGTGGCACATGCAACTTAAAACTTCCCACTTCCACATGTAACCGCCCACTGTCACGAGCTGTCTCAAGCAAAACAAGTTGGTGAAGGATTTAAATCAGAGGGGGAAAATACTGATTTCATGTACTCTCACTGCAGGATGCTGATGCCTCTTACTCACGAAAGAAGAAATAAGGCCAGACGTACAAAGTGGTGCCTGTGCTAAGGCTGAGAAACTTTTTTCATATTGCATGACTGCAAAGAAAAGCTTTTTTTATCTGTTGTACCTTTGTCATTGTGTATCTTGACAAATCAATCGGGCTGTATACACACTTGACTAAATAAAAATCTCTTTCTAAACACACTTGGTTCGTGTCACACTCCCAACAGCTGAATTTTTAAACTTCCAGGAATGGAGACAGAAGAGGCCAGGCAGTATTTTGTTTTTCTGCTGCTATGACATTGGCAAATACTTGGTCAGCAGACTAAGAATTATACACCCATAGGATCATGTTTCCCTCACTTTAATTTCTAATGGATCTTGAGCAAAATAAAACCACGAGTAGAAGTTTGTGGAATAAAGGGTAAGGATAGAGCCTGGGTTTGGGAAGTGTTCCTTTGGGAAAAGGAGATGTTATTTCATCCTTGGTGTACAGCTGGTCTGAGAGCAAAATGTGTATTTAGGGCTAAATCCTGTAACTGCTGCCACATTTAAAAGTATTTAATCTGTAGGTCTCTCAACACCCCTGCAGAGTCCACAGTCCTCGGTCTTCTGGTTGGTTTGTAAAGGCTGAGGATTGGGCAGCGTGTAGAGAAGCAGTGGGGATGGTGTCACTGTAACCCCTGTCACGGGCAGGACTCGGCCTCGCTCTGAACCCGGCACATGTTAAATCTGTAGAGCATCAGGGAGAGAGGAGCAGGGGGAAGGAAGTTCCTCTGGCTACAAGAGGGGGCACGTTATTAATGAGAAATCCATGTCACAGCAGATTGCTTACAGCCAAGACAGCAGCGCCAGTGTCAGGGCTGAATGAGGGCAGACGTTGCATTATAGGCAATTTCACCATGAAATAAAAGCCGAGTTCCCAGCTTGGTCAGACACAGCCCCTTCCATACAGAGCTGCAGCAGTACTGGTGTGTACTGGACAGTAATGGTCAAGCATTGGAACAGGTCAAGCTGCCCAGGGAGGTGGTGCAGTCACCTTCCCTGGTGGTATTTAACAGAAGGGTAGACGAGGTGCTCAGGGACATAATTTAGAGGTGGAATTGGTAGTGTTGAGTTTGTGGTTGGACTCGATGATCTTAAAGGTCTTTTCCAACCACTCCAATTCTGTGATTGTGTAACAGCCCACAGGAACCGAGGATTTTAAAGCATTCACCATCCCACTGACACCCAGTTGGACCCTTAGCTAACAGTACCTCTGCAGTGGTCACTCACCTGTACTTACAAGCTTGGTGACCTTCTTGCTGTTGACAAAGGCCTCAGAAATGTTTGGACAGACCTCAGGCCCCACACTATGCAGGTAAGAAAAATTCTTACTTCTAGCAATTGAGTGGTAATAAAAGAATAACAACCCATTTATAAATTACTGAAACTTTCCAACCATAGCAAAAAAGAAGTCAAGAGTGATGTGTTTAACACGACATTTAACAAAGATTATTAAAAAAACCCCAAACTGATCAGATGCTGGCAGTGTCTGGTCTCAGGCTGCTCTGGAAGAACATAAGGTTCATTTCTCTCCCTGACACACCAGTTCCTGTGCTGGGGTTTGTGAAGTGTGCTCAAGAGGCAGCAGTAAATCTGCACGACAAAACACAGCGGCTCTTAATGCAGCACACACGCAGATGATGTTCACAGGATGCTTTAGCTGCCATCCCCTAACCCACGGGAGATCCAGCAGTACTGCACACAGCAGGAAGCTCTCAGTTTACAAACAGGTTTCTCTGCTTTTTCTCTACCAAAAAAGTTTTAAGTCTTTGCACTCGGAGGCGTTTGCTTCTCTTGCTTGAGCTAAGGACAGTTGCTGCTAGACAACTAAACACAGACCCACCTTCATGGACTCTGCTGTTGCCACCACCGGCACGAGAAAGAGCAACGTGGAAGGAGTGACAGCAGAGATGGCAGCGGCCAGGGGGTGACAAAATTACCTCTTTCAGGGAGGAAGCTGATGCTCAAGGAAATTGCCAAAAGCAGAAACTTTCCAAAAAAGACAAAGCATTTGCCATCCAAAAACTTCACTTCCCTCACGCTCTGTTCCATTACACTGATTCCTGTTGCTTTATGGTACCTGGATGGGACAGAGGCAGTCTCCAGGACTTACTGGTTTTGGTAAAGGCTCTAATAAGAGGTTAAATACTCTCTACTGAGGATTTAAAACTCTTTGAAACTGATCTCATTAAATAAAGGTTCTCCAAAGCCATAATGAAGGTGTCTTATGCTTACCTTTGTGTGATTATTTATAGTAATAAACCACCACCTTCAGAAACCCAGCTCTGTTCCAGCTAAAACCCAGGACAACCATCTGTAAAGCAAGTAGGTGTTGATATGAATTAAGTAAAGCTGATTTACACAACTGGTTAGAAAACATGGAGCAGTTCTCACAGGTCACACAGGAAAATGGTGGAGAGGCTTGTCACGAGCTCAGTCCTAGATACTCAGTCCAGTACTGGTATTCCATGGGTAATCCAAACAGCAGCTGCAGACAAGACCAGGCTGGAAGGTGCTCCAAATTCCTGATAAATCAGAGAAATGCTTCCAAACAAACAGGGCACAATTCAAGACCACACGAACAACACAACACGCTTCACCCGGACACTCAGCTGCACAAATTTGTGATACAGAACTAGAGGCTGTAACTTGTGTTTGTGTCAAAAAATAAGAATCTAAAGAGAGTTACAGAAAATCACAACGTGAATGGGGGTTGTAGTGCTGCAAAACACACCGGCATGTGCGGCCCGTCCCAGGATATTAACGAATGAGGGGCTGCAGGACGCGCTGCCTGCGACAGCAGGGACAGGATGTTACAGCGCGTTAGAGCCCAACTCCATGTTCCTGTGCACAAACAGGAACCCTGCAGGTTGCTAGTTCTGTTCCTCCATCTGGTAGCAGTTGGGATGGCTGCTGGAACACCAGGGCCAGGTACCAGCAACACTCTTCAAGAAGGCTGGGTACCAGAGGGAGAGAACCAGAGAAACGCAAGAGAAAAGGAGCGCAGTGCTCTTGTTTCTCAACTAGTTTATTCAGTTTACAGAAGACAAGAGAACGAGGGCAGAAATTATAACCATCTTCAAAAAACCGGACTGCTGCTGCAAAAGGAATTAAATTTTCTGTGACCATACAGAAGACAAGTAGTAAGAAGTTTACAGTGAGGCAGGGAGGGTTAATTAGATTTATGAAGAAAACCCAACTTGCCAACTGCTGTAAGAACAGCAAAGAACTGGAGCGAACTACTTGACGAGCTCACTGATATTCCTGGTATTGAAAGTTTTAAATCAGATTAAACATTTGCCAGGAGTGGTTCCTTTTGGGAGGGAGCTGAAATAGGTGCTCTCAAAAAGCCCCTTCCAGATCAGTTTTCATAAGTCTGTATTTCCAAATACAGATCACGGCCAAGCAAGGTGATTTTAGACTGTTGGCACGTTGTTATTTATGCTCCCATGGACCAAAAAACCCCACCTTCTAAAAGCTGCTCCCGTTAATGTTCTGTGTGAATCTCACCCTGCACATTATCCCATGAAGTTTGACAGGTGTTTCCTCACCACTTCTGAATTTCACTACAAGGTCTGTGTATTTCTTTAAAATCATTTATGGTCAGTGATCAAAAGAAACGGCTAATAGCCAAGTACACAGTCCTGTGACAAATTTTATCTGAAACAAAAAGGTCTTAAAGGTGAGGAGTAGAAGTAAAAAACATGCTCCAAATTACACAACGCTGGGTGTTCTAACCCAGTGCTGATTCACTTATGGAGCAGATCTGATGTAAATTGATTCTACAGGTTAAAGACAACCATAACTACTGATCTGCAGAGAAAACATTTATATGCTAATAACTGGTGGTAACGAAGAGGATAAACAAGCCACTGGAGAGATGACCCAGACCTGGTTTCAAGGAGACCTGTGATATTACAAACCAGTTGCCAAATTTTGTTCTAACCTTTGGTAAGGTTAAAAAAACAATTAAATTACTTCTGGCACAGACAGCTGGATTTCTGCCTCCCCCATCATCAGGCTCTCACTGTATTTGTGGAAGACTGGTTAGTGATGTGGACACAGGTTGCAAACAACAACATATATACATATTAAAAACATAGGGATATTGGAAGAAGAAGATAAAATTAATCCATTTGGACTTCAAATTCCTTCTCTCCCTTAACTACACATTTACTTCTTTCATCAGTAGGTCACACAGGTTATTAATGTGTCAGAATGCACATTGTTTTATATAAATTCTCTTTGCCCCCAAAAGAAGTACTTTGGTAAAAATCATCCCTTATGACTCTGTTAAATCATAGCTGAGAACTTACTACAACTAAGGGACATCAGTGGAAGTCGTATATTAAAACAAATGCTAAAACTCAACTCAGTCCAATATAAAATGGCCAGAATTAAAAAAAAAAAATAAAAATCATATAAATAGTCATATGTACACTTTGGTTACCAACTCTGCGGTTGATGGTACTACAGTGAGCTGTGACCTGACTGTCAGTGCAAGTCACCTGTCCAAGGAAAAAAAAAATAATAATAATTAAAAAAAAATCAGAATGCACCAAAAATAGTTAATGATCAGAATTATGCTGCTCTCCTCTAAACTGGAGAAGAGAATTTCAGCATCTCCTGGCTCGTCAGCCACACAGGCAATGGTGTCTCACACGTTCCAGCAGCAAGAAAACAGTTCAAAACTTCCTGCCTGCTGAAGGTTCTGGCTTGCACCATTTCTGTGCACACCGTGTACGCTGGCTTGGCACTGCCACCCAACGCCATCTGGAGAGTAAAATCTTACCTATAGTGTATAAATGAACATTTGATTCCCAACATGCAGATGGAAAATACAAAATAATAATAATTAATAATAAAAAAGTGCTACAGACATTCTAGAACAAAGGCAGGTGCAGAAGTTCAGATGAATAAACGGGGTAGCCGAGGGGCGGGTCGGCAGCTTGCACAGTGAGGTTCCGCAGCAGGACGGGGTGTGCCTGGATGCTGTAACGTTCCTCGTCGTCGTTTGTAGCGTACAGCAGCTCCCAGGACAGATTTGCCCACTGACCTCGGACAGCTTCGTCATTAAGTTTTCCCACTTGTACTAACAGTTCCTGAAGAGTGAGGACTCGCCCGGTGTAAATTCCCAATAAGGACAAACAGATCAAAATATTCAGTACTTCAAACTCCAGGCATTTTGGTTACAAAGCACTAAATCAAGCTTTGGGGCTACATACTATGAGTATTGTCCCTTTAAAAATGGCAAAGGGTATAAACTAGTCTCCTTGGTTCAATTTTTCCATCTAGGAAGACAGTCAGGAAATACTGCTGCATCTGAAGAACAATGTGGTGTGTTTTTCAACAACAGTGATGTCAGCTCCTGTCTAGGACAAACAAAATTTGGTTGCACAGCCTTCATGTTTGGGAACACAATTAAAAAGAAAAAAAAAAAAGAAGTGGTCTAAAAGAAAACCAAACTCTGACCATGCTTACTAGTAATTTTTCTTCTTACCATGTTTGGGTCATGCCCCAGTGAAAAAAGGTATGGCTTTTCCTGCAGAACTGCTTGCTGCCACTCCAGATCTGATACCAGTCCAATGTACCAATCATTTTCATATTCTTCCAGGTAATTAACCAGCTCTTTGAAGTTCTCAACTGGACCCAGGCTTGCTTTGTCAACCATAAGTTTAAAAGTATATCTGAAAGGTACAAAAAGCCGTACAGTGAGTAGTGCAGCGAAAGGCAGGAGGAAGAAAGCCTCTGTGAGCTGGGAGAGGCAGAAAGGCACCATCAAATGTTATCAAGCACCAGCAACTTTTAAGTTACTGCTTGTCAACCGAGTCACTGGAAGGTTGTAGGGGTAAGCTTTTAGCTCACCCAGATGTGAAACATATTAACTCAAACATCTTCCATTCACCTCAAACACTGTTCCCGCTGCCTGATAATGGAAAGTGCCAAACATGTAACTCCATCACAGTGCTCTTAGATCGTGGGGACAATGGAAATGGGTTGTTTTTTCCCTATTTAACACAAGATTTCCAGTGCTGGAGGCAGCTGCTGTGGGGAAGGGAAGAAGGAAGGAATCTCTGTATCCCAGTCTTTGCTGCCTGGGGTTACAGGCAGCACTTGTGCAGGAAGCAGCTACAAATATATTAAGTGATATGGTTTTAATGTTAACTACTCTTACTGAAGTGATATTTACTTTTAAAGTACCTATGTACTTACTCTCTACATAATTTTTATAACCTGAGGGAATATTTTTCTTTTACCTGAATGCTTTCAACGCAAGTTGGAATAGCTCTGGTTTGCTGGTCAGCCAGTCCAAACCAACAGACCACGGAATACCACCGGTGTACGCTCTGAACACATGGCTCGGGGCAGGCACGGTGTTATCCAGTCCAAACAGACCAAAACAACACGACAATACTCCATGGATGTACAAGTCTTTCAAAGCTTTATCTTTCAGAAGGTCTTCGAGTAAATTTGAAGGCTTTTCTTTCAGATGAAAAAAGTCCAACTGACTCAAAATGAAGCGGTACCATTCTTCGGGAAACCTCTGCCTCATTTCATGGACTTTGGAAGAAGGCACCGGGGCTGTTCTCCATTCTTCAGGGATGCTCAGCAGCTCTGAGTAAGAGCAACTAAATTCAACCTGAGGTAAAACTTCTTGCTGTTTCCCTTTGTCTACAGCGGGAAGTCCAAGCACAACAGCCCTGTGTAATTTATCTTCTGGTGACATTGCTTGTGAGACATCTTGACTCTGTGTTTCTACAGACCCTGGAATAGAGAAAGGTACTTTGGTTCCCAACTGTCCAGGTTCTTTTCTGTTTTTCCTTCTGCCACTGGGTTCAAGATCAAAAATGTCACTATCATCAGTCCAGTCCTCAATTGTATCAACACTAAAGCTATCCTCTTCCCTCAGAGTCCCGGGTCTTTCTACCGCACCTCTACTCTGATTTTCTGGAAACGATCCTTTTTTGTTCTTGTCGCCATCGCCTGGGCTTTCCCATGTTTTTGATTTTTTATAACAATACTGGACCAGCATCCATACAAGCACTTTAATGAAATCATCTTTCAGATGCTTTAAATTCTCATGAGAGTCAATTATTCCAGATAACACATTTCTGGCATCAGAATACAGCCGCACAGGTAGAACAGTACAAGGAGTCAAAATGTGTCCAAAATGGTGATTAGGAGAGAGAATCTTTGTGTGCTCCTGATGTTCAAAGGCCATTTCAAAAATTTCATCAACTTTGTGAGCTTCAGCAGCATGACAAGATGTTTCCTGCAATTCTAGCCCCTAAAGGATAAATGAAAACAATTTAGTTTTATTCTTCACCAGTACAAATCTTTAAATGCTTGCAAGCTGTTTTCTTGCACCAATTTTTTTCTGAGCAAATAAAGATACGTTTCACTGTCAATATTTCCACAACTGAACCTACAAATCTAACCAGAGATAATAATAATAGCAAAGCACTCACTACAATATTAGACACAGATCAATGTCTTAAAAAAAGAAAGCTTTGCCTCATACAGCTCTTATTAGCCAGCTTATTAAAGATCATAGAATCATAGAATGGTTTGGATTGGAAGGGACCTTAAAGATCATCCAGTTCCAATCCCCCTGCCATCAGCAGATGTTGTATCACAAGCTAAATGATAAAAAATTTCACATCTGCTAAGCACGTCAGTTGCAAGACTAGTTAACACAGCAATGACACTCATCTTAAAAAACTGACTGTAAAATCAGGTAAATTCCTTACATTGTTGAGATGTTACACAGAAAAACGTTTACATGATTTCAAAACATTAATATGTCAGGCCTCAGCACGCAGTTACCTTAATGTTAACACCACAGTAAGTGAAGCCTTTTTCTAGCACCAATATCCACATCAGCCTGTCCTGAAAGCGGCACAAGTAATGTGATCCAGGTAGAGAGAGACCTAGGCAAGAAAAAACAAAACAAACCAAAAAAATAGGGCATTACATGGTATTATATTGATGAAAACCTTTTCTACGTGCCAACTGAGGAATTCAGCTGCAAACACAAAATATTTCTGCATCAACATCAAAATCAGTTCAAATTAGCTAACTAGTACCCTAGAATCTTAAAGGAACTAGCTGAAAGCCACGTCTTGAAACTGTAGTGCTATCTTTGAAAAAGCTGTGGAGAACTGGGAAACCCTCAGAGAGCTGCAGGACTACAGTATTCAGACTCAACAGGGTTAAGCAACCCCACCCTTAAGTCCCTTCTAGACACAACTTTCATGATTAAAGATCATCTACAGCTGCATTTCCAAACGAGATCTCACCTGGAGATCTAAAGTTCTTAAAATTGCTGAATCCATAAAAGAATCATCATCTAGCAGCTGAGTATCTTAATGGCCATATTTGCTGCAGAGTACAAAGTTTATTTGTTATGGGAGGAATAAAAGTCTAACACAGTAGGATTTTCTACCTACACCACCAGTTCCTAAATTGACTTGTCTGTATTCCAGAATGATTAGAAAATATCCCTCAGGATGCAAAATCCAAAGTGTAAATTATTCTGATCACAGAATCACAGAATGTTGGGGATTGGAAGGGACCTCGAAAGATCATCCAGTCCAATCCCCCTGCTGGAGCAGGAAGATCAGCTGTTATAATATCACATCTATTTTATAGGTACAGAAATAGAGGCAGAAAGAGAAAAGAACTACATTTCCACTTCCTCATCTTTAAGGATTTGTGAATCAGTGTCATACACATTGAACACTAACAGCAGAGAGAGTAGAAATCATCTGTAGTCTTTCTGAAGTACCTCTGTGTGTGTGTGTGTGTGTGTGTGTGTGTGTGTAGGAATAAATCTGATCCCACTGTCTTAAGTCTGACATCACCAAAAAGGCAGCCACACAAAATAAAATTGGAATTGGAAAACCAAGTCCTGAACAACTTCAGATCACACATCAAAGTAATTACTACCTAAAAATCCCACAATCTGGCTCTCACTGTAAAAATTAGATGACACCTGTGTTCAAAAAAAGGAGTATTTTGTATTTTTACCTCTCTTCTCCCTATTTCAATAAAAAGTGCAATGCCAAATTTGCTGGTTAACTGGTGGTTACGTTGTATTTCTGTTAATTTATAGCCTGCTGTCAACTTCTCCAATACAATGGCACTGTTCTTACGTGTAACATTTGCTGCCAGTTTATGACCTGCTTCTGCTCTCACTCACTTGCACAGAGAATTTTAGTTTTAGAACGTTGTAAGATGAAATCAGTGAAACCAACCATTAAGCTGTAGTTAAAATTTAAGTAACCTTTTCTATCCCACTGAGCTAATGAAGTGCATTTTCTTGCTAACATTTTGCAAAGGTTTTAATTCTTTTCTTGCTGGCTGTTAAAGCTACTAAAACTCCTTTACACAGAAAAAAGTATGGTTTTAAATTAAAATAGAGACACATAAAATGGTACCTCTTCATTTTGAGCTCATCTGAGAACACCATATATTTTCTTGCTTGAAGACATTAATTCACAGATTTTCCCATTAAAGAGGAGACTTTTTTCCCCTCTCAAGACTAGTGTTTTAAATTATTTAATCTGAGGCATGCGTGCCACCACAGTCATGACAGCAATGGGGAAATAGAGATATTAAAAATATGTACAGATATAAAACAGATAGATATAACAGATATACATTATATAACTATATAGAACAAAATCTCTGAATTCTGGCTTTGAGCAACCTGGTCGAGTGGAAGGTGTCCCTGCTGATGGCAGGGGGGTTGGAACTGGATGAGGTTTAAGGTCCCTTCCAACCCAAACCGTTCTGTGATTCTATATCTATTGTATGTCAAGCATACATAGGCTGACACAGTAGACAAACTGTAGCGTCTTTCTTCTTTAGAGGAAAAGAAGCTTCCTAGTTTTATTTTTTTAATACTTCTCTCTACACCAGCACTTAAAAAGTGCAGCAAATGTTTCCAACTAAAGCACTTGCATATAGTCTTCAGAAAAGTGTGATTAAAGTTAACTTCCACTGTCTTTAAATATGAGTCCGTTTTTTCTAGTCATAAGCCATTTCTAAAAGGTTTATGTATTTGCCTCTTGTCTAAGGGCAACGATCTTTTGATTATTAACAAAGACTATTTCTCAAGAAAACGAGCTTGCAATTTAACAGTTGTTCTGTCTCCAGCTGGGAAAAAGACTCGGCATTTCTTCCCCTCTGTTTCTATAAGTCTGTGACGTTCCCATCACAATGTCTTTCATAGATGTTAAAACCACAAGTCCCGTTACAACCCTACCCTCACTGCCTGCACAAGATATGACATTAAGTCTTATCAACTGGTTCTGTTCTCAACTGTTTACCACTAACTTAGGCTACAACATGTATTCTACAAACATCCAGTCCAGATTCACCATACTTAATTAACACAGCCAAATTAGCAAAGTCACCTTCTGGATCCTGAGTAATGGGACTGAAGCAGAGAGACACATACATTCACAAAGAGCAGTTTGACACACCTTCTTCTCTTCACTGAATGTCAAGAGAACTCAATTTATTCCCTCCTGTTAGGTGGGATGAATGCACACCATCCTTTTTTGTTCAGTGTGAAAAGATTAGGAATGATACTGTTCCATCACCATTTAGTTTCTCCTTATTTTAAAGATAACAAACCAGAATTATTTTCTTACAAGAATGTAGGAAGTAGAGATGTATGAGAAGGATAGAAGTAATCACTTCTTCCTCAATTGAATTTCTAAATATCAGATTTAACCTATGCCGTGAAACATGGCTTAAATCAGATGCTATGATTCATAGAATCATAGAATGGTTTGGATTGGAAGGGACCTTAAAGATCATCCAGTTCTAACCCCCCTGCCATCAGCAGGGACACCTTCCACTAGACCAGGTTGCTCAAAGCCTCATCCAGCCTGGCCTTAAACACTTCCAGGGAGGAGCAGCCACAGCTTCTCTGGGCAACCTGTTCCAGTGTCTGACCACCCTCACAGTGAAAAACTTCTTCCTAATATCTAATCTAAACCTCCCCTCTTTCAGCTTAAACCCATTTCCCCCTGTTTTGTCATTAGTTGCCCTTATGAAAAGTCCCTCCCCAGCTTTCTTGTAGCCCCTTCAGGTACTGGGAGGCCGCTATAAGATCTCCCCGGAGCCTTCTCTTTTCCAGGCTGAACAGCCCCAACTGTCTCAGCCTGTCCTCATAGGAGAGGTGCTCCAGCCCTTGGATCATCCTGGTGGCCTCCTCTGGACTTGTTCTAACTGGTCCATGTCTTTCTATGTTGGGGGCTCCAGAACTGGACCCAGTATTCCAGGTGGGGCCTTACAAGAGCGGAGTAGAGGGGCCTCTACTCCGCAAAATCCAGCATTCCAAATTCTCCTCTTCTCCAGCAAAATCATGCCTCCTAAAATATTTAGCCACATTCCCTCACAGCGTACCTACCTAGGCTCCCGGCTGCTATCGCAGACTGCAGAGCAAGAGCCAGACTTGGAACCATCTGCTGGTAGTACACAGTATCGGAGCAAACACACGCTGTAGCACCCACAGGTCCTGGCCAGCTTCGGACAGGCCTAGGAAACCCAATCAAAAATACCGGCAGCGTGAAGAGCGGCAGCAAGGGAGAAGAAAGGAGCGCAGAGACGGCGATGAAGGTCAGCAGGATCGGGAAGAAAATGACATTGAGTGTGATCAAGGTGGTGGTAGATTTACGACGTTGTTTTTTCTCTGTCCACGATGTCAAAAGAATAGCCATGGCAAACTGCAACTTGGAGACAAACTGCAGCAGCCGATCCCGTACGACACCAACCTGCAAGATACACACAAGGAGCACGTTCATTTGAATCCTGCACCGTGTTCAGCTCTGCCAAAGCTGCCTTCTCTGCAATAATTTTAAGAAAATGAAGGGTGATTATAACTGACTGGTATGAGGGTGTATATCTTAGTACACAGGTTTTTAGTTTCTATTTGCTAGGTCCTGGACCCCATAATTCTCTACTAGGGCAGGGCAAGGAAACAAAGACTTTAAGTGACCATTATCTGCTTAAATTTACATTATGATAGTTACCAGCAAGAGTCTGATTCCTGTGTCGAGGCTCCTGTTCCACCAGAGGTCTGGATTAAGCACCAACATTTGTGCTATTGACACAACCACTATGTCCAGTAGGGCATTTTCTGTGTTCTGCCACACCTAAAACAGATGTATGTTAGACATACATTTCAAAATGCATTTATCTATCTATCTCTGCTTTCATGACTTGGAATATTTCTTCCAAGTCACCTTAATACTTAAATCACATAGAAGATTATTTCTTAGGCTAACATATTTAAAATTCAAATTACCATCCTAAATATTCTTGTGAATCCAATGCAAACAGACACAGAATGAAGATTTTGTAGCGAACGGTCTAGTGACAGGAATGCTATCATAGCAAATGGAGACACTGTAATTGAAATAAAAGAATCGTTTACTTCCTTTCACAAACATCATTAAAGTCTACAGAGGTAAGCAGTCTTATTGCAGAATGTACATTTTAGTGTAAAAAGAGAACTCTTCCCTTCATTATTACAAACTCCTCTTTGTATTACACTTCCAGGACATCAAACAGCATATTTACACTAAGGGCCTAAGCTGGCAAACATTTGTGTGATGCTCAGTTGTTCCCTGCTATTACTTTTCCTGCTGTTTGTTTCCCCAGGAGAATGGGAATACTCAAATAAGTAAAAACAAACATGAGAATGGCACTCATCAGTCTGCTTCCCCAAACTGACGCGTCTTTATGAAATTAAATAATTTAGATCAAATTTTGGTTCCCCCAAAGCAGATGCCTTTCTCCCTAACCTACCAGAAAGGAGACTGTTCCTTTACCAGCAAGTTGCAAGAACCAAATATTTAGTCAGCTTGAAGACTCTGAACTCAATTTTATTTACAAGTACATTCTAAAAAAAAACCCTACAAGGGCCATTTTTTTTCAAAAGTGAGTCCTGATGTTATAACTAAACTCCTTTAAAAGGCCTCGCTTTCTGAGCTGGACTTTTTAAAAACTCAGCTTTTTAGGTTTACCCCTAATAAATAAATAAATAAATAAAATCACTAATCACTTTCAAATATTCTGAACCAGTAATTTTGACCTCAATGCACAATTTAGCAAAACATCAACAAATATTTCCAGCTACTTGTTTTTTCTGAAGTTTATTCACAGAACCTTGCACATACAGTAATTCTAGTGCCTTTTCAATCTTCCTACAAGCATCATCTAACAAACAACAGACAGTGCATATTCCTACCTAGTGTTAGTAAAATCCTCCTGACAACACCAACTTTCATTAGCCTTCTTTGCTTCTCCATGAACACAGTCACAGTCCTGATATCCTTTGGATAAAAAGGGTTTCGGAAGACTCCAAACAAGTACACTCTCTGAATCTCTCTAAGAATCCACATAATTATAAGTAATATCATCAGAATGTAACTCGCTATAGCCTGAGGACTGGCTTTGGAAAGTGATGAAAAGCCTGCAAATTGATGCAGCAGGCTGGCTTCTATCAGAGCAAACGTCAAGACAGTCAAATAAAATATAAATTCCCTCCACCCAAATTGTATTCTAAGATCTCTGTGCGTATTTTTAGATTTGCTGGAGGCTAAATGGCTGATCATGGTGTGTTTGAAGGCAAAACCAATCTCACTTAGGTTAAGACTCAGTATGAACCCAAATCCAGTCATGAAGAGGATCACACCGAGAGTGCTGCGAATGAAATACGATGCTATTGCTGTTCCAGCAGAAATGAGAAACATTACTAATAACCTGTGAAGGAGAAAATAAAAAAGATTTGCTTGAAAAGAAAAAAGGTTATAAGCAATACTGATTATCTTTTACAATTATATAAACAACATTTACTTTGTGTTACTTGACATGGGTGAACCTCCTAGTCCAAACTCCAACAGTTGTTCCATTCCCCATAGAAAAAGTGCATCAAGCGGGGGCAGAATTCCCATTGCCCACAAGAACGGCAGAAAAAGAAATATGACGTGCAAAATCTGGTTTGTCTGTTCTAGAATGGGTGTGTTGGCAGCAAACCTGGATAAAAGAAGAAATGTATTTGACTTCTGTGAAGAAAAAGATAACTGATGTGTGGGAATACTTTTTGTATACTACAGCAAATCCAGAAATATAAACATTACATATTAAATCTGAAAATCCTCAACTAGTATCTTTTAAAAGGAAAAATAAGGACGTGTGTTTATGCTTGGGGCAGTAACACACTAATCAGAACACAGCCTCATTTTTCACTCAAAAGATTTGAAACCTTCAGATTATACAGATGAGTCAAATGATATAAGTATTCTAATTGTTTTGATACTGTTGTGATAACACACTCAAGAAATACTTGTGCAAAAAGAAAGGTCCACAAGCTCTAAGGCCTCAACCATTGAACTAAAAAAATGCTAAGTATTTTTTCAGAATTAGAAAAGCAAAACTTTATGCAAGTCCAAGACCAAAGATGTAAGTGTTAACGCTGACAGAACTGGCATGTTGCCCGTACACCAAGAGATAAACTCTCTTTATGAATATAAAATGATATTTTCTACATAAAGGTATTGCTGTCTCCCTGTGAAAATGCAAAGATCAATATTAGAAATCTGCATAAATTCTAAGCCATACATAGCTCATCAGCTAGCTAATTAACTTAAAGGTGGACTGCTAAGTTACTTGCTTTCTCTCTACTTCTTACTAAATAAATAAGGAAGCTTCAAAGGAATTTTGCCAGGAATTTAAAGAATGTCTGAGTTTTCTCTTCAGGAAATTAGAAGAATTTGGGATCCAAGATGACGTGTATAATTCTCGTATCATAATTGAAGAGGCAACAAAAAAAAAAAAGTATTATCGTTAACAAAGACATTTCCAAGTACAAAACTGGTAAAATCAAACATGCTTTTTTTTAAAAAAAAAAAAGCATTTGAAGTACTCTAACTATAAAATATGTACATGTGACAAAGTGATATAAATATCACCCGACAGGGAGAAATAATGCATAAAGTAAATCTAAAAGCATCTTGCTTTAAGATTCTACAAATACTTTAGCTAAGACACTCATCTCAAAAATGGAAATATAAAAGTCTCCTATTTGTAGGCTGACATAGTTCTTTTGTATTACAAAAGCTATTAAAAATTCAAGTTTAAAATCCATATAACAAAGATACAGCAACGTTCACATTTGCTTATTCATTCATTAACATTAAATTCATGGTCCTTTTTTTGCCTATAATTTAAAACCCTTGGCAATCATTTTGCAGAGATTAAATTAGAAAATATTCCAGAATGAAATCTGGATATAAATCCAGTGCCCCTGAAGTTTGCAGTGTTTAGATATATGATTCCAAGTTAGGAACATGTTTTTTGAAAACATACCCCTAAAAAGGATGTTGATGCAAATGTTCTCGTACAAAAATACTGAGATTGACAAGGTAGAAGATAAATTTAGCTGCCCCTTACTTAGAAATTGCTCTAACTGCTCTTCCTAATTTATGTGGAATGCTATAAAAATTTAAGAATGACCTTTTATGCACCGCATAGAGCCTTAATTTCTACCTTATTTTCATCCAGCTTCTTTCTTTGGAGTTCCTACAGTTGATTAAAATCTCAAAAGAAATTTTCCTCAGAAGAATAATTTCATCTTTCTCATTATAAATATACAGAATAACCATTGCTTTAATTAGCCAAATGCTGTATTATGTTTACCTGTGTGCAAGATCCACTGCAATAAAAACAAAAATGTAGAAAGGTCTCATCAGAGCAGTGATTTCATAAGTATCCAGTGCTTGGAAAGTGGCTGTTTCGGTAGCTGTATTTATGATTAACGAATACTCTCCTATACAGATAGTCACCCATCCAAACACAAAGATAATAACAGTTCCTCCAATGTTGCTGTACAGTGAGGTTATTCTGTTTGGCAGCAAATACCAAGTTCCCAACCCACACAATACCCCTGCCAGAAGGGAATGAAATACAGTGTTGATTATATACTTCTTGCCAGGAATAATAAATTTTACTGTCTCGGAACCTATACAGCTGGAAAATTCAAACTCATCTTCATCTGTCAGGGTATTCTGAATTTGCATTCTTTCCACTGTCACTGTTTTCTGTTTTGCATATAGATTTGTCATCTGTAGAATAAGTGCAGTAACAAACATCAGTCCTCCCGAAAGTGCTGCGGTATAGTAGTCTTTCATAATGCCTAACTGGTACAAAAGTGTTCCTACTCCTCCCAAAACCCATGGTGTCAAGAAAAGAATAATCTGATTCACATATATGTAAGGAGGGGCACAATAGCCTAATTTAAACCGGGGACCTCCTAGCACAGTCTGTGGAAAGCGCTTCAAGAAGAACTCCTGTTTGTAATCATTCAGCAGAGGTACATCTGGACCCATTCTTATTATTCAGGAATGCTGGATGAGTATCATTTTGCCTGTAAGAGAACAGAAAGAAAAAGACAGAAACATTACTGAATCTGGAACTCAGAACTGAACCAGGGAATTCTTTTGTCCTGTTTTAATTTCACAAGTTATACTGGAATTCTGACATGTTAGTGGTGTTAGACATCATGCTAAAGCACCCAAAGAATCTACCACAAAACAACTACCAAGCAAACACCTAAAATTGAAAGAGATTGCCTATTTCAAAGTAAAGAATACATGCATGATCTGACTCTTTAGGCAACAAATAAAACATAAAATCTGTTCTTAGGAGATGATAAAAGCAACTCATCTCAGAACACCTTCCTAATACTGCAATTTTTTTCCATCTGGTCTGATTCCAATCACAGACCTCTAATTCCAATTAATCCTGTTAAGGATCTCCATATACAAACAGAAGAGTCAGTGATTTCAGTGAATAGACACATAGTCACACTGAGGTCCCTGTAAAAATCAAAGCCTTATGAAATAAACCAACTGAAAAAAAAAAAAAGAAGAAAAAAGAAAAAGTAGAAGCATTAAAATTTGTTTTCCATATCAGCATTTTTACTGCTCTCTCTACACAGCCTAGTTGAAGAACAGGATCTCACTGTACTAAGCACTACACAAGACATAAAATAAACAGTTCACTTTCTGCTTCCTAAAACATACAAAATAAAAAAATAAACACAATACTTGTGAGTTGTAGGTGAATCAGCATATATTCTTCTGTATGTCAGTGGAGAAAGCTGAAAAAAGGGAAAAAGATACCTGTAAACATTTAAAATGAATCATCAAATAGAAATCAGATAGGAATTCTCACTTAGAGAGGATCAGGCAATGTAGAAATAACCAATGTAAGAAGGTAACTGTGATATTCCAATATAATTTTATGCTACTAGTCATGAAAGCAAGAATCCAGGAATGAGAGGTAGAAATACTCAAGCTAAGAAACAGGGTGGAAAAACAGCATAAAAATGCAGCGCAAAAGTACTTCATTAATAGTAATAATTCTAACAAAGAGACAGTGGTGTGCAAGTACTGAAATTCTGACTTTCTCCTAGTGGACCTGTATCATCTGATAAATACCTATTAGCCATCATTGCTGATACATTAAAAATGAAACACTCTGCTGCTATGGAGTTTCCAAACTACTGTGATCCCTTCTCTATACAATACCAAATGCTTCTGGGTGCTGCTGAGAACAATTTGCTCCTTACATTTAAGCAGATTATCAGTCACTCGACTGTAGGTAGATGCTGGTCATCACAGGACTAAGTTAGAAACAGTGCAAATGAGAGAGATTAAATGCCATTCATATGCATTATCACGACTGGAAATTTGCTCTCAGGGTCTCCTAAGTCAATACACTCCACAGTGAAAAGCAGGACCCCACAGGCTGCAACTCTCCATGTAAACTGTGGATTGTTATTTTTTTAAGTAAAAATTCCAAATTGTAATTCCAAATTGGATTTTTTACACACAGCATACTGAACACGAAATACTGAAAACATAGAGGTTTTTTTGGTCATACTATTTCAAGCCATTTAAAGTTTTCTTAAGGGTAAGAGAAGGCAGCAGTCGGTTCTAATGGAAAAGACACATCCTGACAATGGAGAGGGGAATTCATTGCAGTCAGCTCAGGAATTTGAAAATGTAACAGGGACACACCCAAAACCAAATTTCAAATGTGATAATAACAAAAAAAATAATCCCACAATTCAGCCAACCTTGTTTAGAGAAAGAAACACTGTTTAGAGGGCCAAATAGGCATGAAACTAAGTTGCTGTGAAAGTTACACGCAGTACAACGTTTATATGCAGGTAAATGAGAGAAGCTGAGTTTAAAAAAAAAATATAAAATGAAAAGGTGCCTAGTTTTCCTTGAAAAACAGTTTTTTGGCAGCTGTGTTTTTCTGCTCTAAGAACTATTTTTGTTTCAAGTTCGAGCCTGCATTTGTGTTTGCCAGTTCACGTTGCTAACAAAATGTTAACAAAACATTCCTATTACAGTTTCTGTGTAAACAATAGACATCTTTGTGTGAGCCACAAAAATCTACGCACATAAACAGTATAGTTCGACTCGGCTACACTCCAAAACGAGCCATAAAAAGATGTTAATTTATTTATAAATGAAAATCCCAGGATTTATGCTCACAAACTATAGAAACGATACCCTCAACTATCCTCCTGGCTTCCAAAGGGGTCAGGTAGCACATTAGGGCTCCAAAGAAGCACTCATTCGTGTCTCGTTATTTCTGTGTAAAGCCATAGCAACAAGACTCCACACATCAGTGAGTGTTTACAGGACCTGGCTTCAATATACATTCCTAACATACAGGCCTGGCCTGACTTTGACAACTTGCCTGGTTACTCAAACAATCTGCACACAACAGTTTGTCATCACCAGCAGGGATCCATGCGACTTAGATACTACCATAACAAGGACGGTAAAAGGACTTTTAACACCATAAAGTCATTTAACAAGTTCCTCCCTGCGATATCCACTCTGCGTCCTTATTACAAAAGGAAACAAAAGCAAAGCAGGTGTCCCTGCTCATGGCAGCAGGGTTGGAACTCGATGATCTTTAAGGTCCCCTTCCAATCTATACCATTCTACGATTCTATGAAATATTGCTCAAATTCAGACAGAAATTCACAGGAGGGCATGAATTTTTGTCTAAACAAACATCATCCTTCACGTCCACTGATGGTGGATCAGCTCAGTGCTGTCTGGTTTTATTTCAAGCAGATTACAGAACACGTGTACAGCTCTCAGCCATCTAACCCACTAAGCACGAGGCTTAAAAATACTTACCTCAGTGGTCTTCGAAGTCTTTTCACGCGAGACTAATGGTTATAAACCACCTGCTAGCACAGGAGGGAGAAACACCAACGTTGGAGGCACAGGGGAGCTGGGGACAGCCCCCGGCCAGGCAAATCCATACGCACCTCATGCCGACCTGTGTGCCCAGACACCTGCACCTCTACCTTCTCCATGGTCAAAGACTCAGCAGTGCTGGAGGTTGGCTTCCAACCCAGGAGCCAGACGGGGCAGCCAGGGGCTCTCTCCTCAACAGCACGGCTGCCATCCCCCAGTGAGACCGGGGACAAAGAGTTTTAGGCCAACGTGCTCCAGTTGTGGGAAGAGCATCCCAGGGCCGCACTGGGAAGGTGCAGACCACCTTCTTCCCCAGACACCTCTGCACCTGACCAGGTGTGCTCTCACCACACTTTCTACCCAGACCTCTCTCTCCCCCCGATCTTCTGCAGGAACAGAAATAAT